TTAATGTAAAGATCATCAAGAGCTTTTTTTTTAATGAGAATGTGCGAGAATAAATTATTTCGCGCAATTACTTGTTCCTGTAATACATGTGACGTATTACTATAATATTACGATGTTACAGATGATTTAATTATCAATAATGGCAGCATACAAAATAATGAAGAAATAATAAAAGATGGTGAATTAATTTTTGCTGAACCGGAAATTTATTTAGATGAAGCTAAAAAATAGTTATACAATACCAAGCAAAAAATTAGCGCTGGGCCAATTAGGTAGTTAAAAATTTTTCAGGAATGAAAGAGGTAGTTGACGATATTAAACTATATTCAAGAAGAATAACTTTTCCACGCACTTGGAAGGATCATAACGAGAATACAATATTCTTAGAGTAGCTTCTTTATTAATATGTACACGTTTAATAAAGCCTATTTAGTAATAATAGTATCTAATATACAGTATATCAATAAAAAATATGTGCAATCTTGTAAAATTACTTTAAAATTTGGTGTATTTTCTTTTAAACTAAGAAATTAATACATTGCGGCGGATTTATGATATTTGGCAAAAACCCTGCTGCGCCTTGGAATTAAAATTGACTTACAGTTTAACACTGGAAAAATTGGTTAGGTAACGGAAAAATTGGTTAGACGCAAGATTTGGGGTACAAAAAAATTTTTTAGAGCTGGGATTTAAATAGAAATTTGGTGACTAAAAGACTGTCAAATATTTATTTAATTTGACATGACGGACAAATTTTGAGGTATTTCATAAATCCGCCATGATGAATCTCACAATGGTTTCTCCTAGTATGTTTAGTCAATTCAAATTAATTACTATATCGAAATCTCTATAATTAATATTTATTTTTATGTTCTTTTAGATGAACTAGCAGCGCAAGCATCTTGTTATGGATTAACATACGGAATTTTGGAATTTTTGTTGGTGGTTCACATTTTTTAGTGCTTCTTTGGTTCATGCAAATTGTCCTATATTAATGCCTTGGAGATGGGGTAAAAAATATCGAGTACATATCGTCCATTCTCATGCTAGGACCATCCATCTATACATGTTTCAAATGTAAGTCGGATTGGATATGATACTTGCCCTATAAAAAAAGAAAATTTGGAATTTGTCCTGAAAAGTATGGAAAATGTCCGGAAATTTTCCGTGCGTCCGGAAAACATTCAGAAACGGTCACGTTTTGGAACACTTTCCGGACGCACAAATTCCAGACATTTTCTTGACACTCCAGAATTTGTCCAGAATTTGTCCAGAATCGAGCGTCCGGAAAATGTTCCAAAACATGACCGTTTCCGAATGTTTTCCGGACGCACGGAAAATTTCTGGACATTTTCCATACTTTTCAGGACAAATTCCGAATTTTCTTTTTTTATAGGGTTGTAGCACTTGGCCAGCTCACACTCTGGAGTTTCAAAATAATGAATGATGGTTTCAAAGGCAGTAAAATAAATTCTGAAAAAAGTGATTCCGAGCTTAGTAAATCTTATAGTATTGCAGGTCTCATTTTTACCATCCCCCATGGTATTTACTCCACAAGCGGATAGTGAGTACCTGAGTACCTGAGTACCTGACTGTCAATGAAAATCCCGAATTACATTCGTAGTAATGTGAAAAGTGTAATCGGCATCATTGTTTGGTTGTTGAAGGATTGGGTTAGTGTAGATAGTTCCAGCAGGGCTAGAATTAAAAAAAATTATCAAAAAATAATATGGGCAGAGTCCCGAATCTTTGTATTTATTTTTTGCGTGTCATGTCTCCGGGCATGTTACTATCATATTAATAAAACAATATTCGAATATAGATGCAAAGCGTCTTCGTCTATTTTTGGCAAACATTATTTCGCATGATCGGGTTATGTGTACAGTATGCTAATCTTTTGGCCATCTTTTTTGATTTGGAGGGGGATTTACAAAATGAAAGATTCATAGTGTAATCGGCACCAAGATGCAAGCGTAAATCGGCAGCTGAATATCAGATACTGTATGTAGTGATAGTATTTAGATAGGTCGAGATATTTCCTAATGGCTTTAACTTGAATTTCATATGAGATTTCATTCAAACGGAATCAATAATATTGAATTCATTTTTCGATCTGCGATATAAAACGATTATGCTTCAATCAAAAAGGATTTTATGGAGACCAAAGACTTTTTCCCCTTATAAAAAATAATTCTGAAGTCAAGTTATTAAAAGTTACTTATTACTAACAATTAATCTTTATAAAAGCAGATTTTTGCTAAAGTTTTTTCATTAAGGTATCAAATTGAACTCCACATTATACTTGCCGCCCATTTAAAATCCCCTCCCATCCCCTCCCATCCCCTCCCATCCCATCCCATATCCCATCCCATCCCAAATCCCAATCCCAAATCCCATCCCATCCCAAATCCCAAATCCCATCCCAAATCCCAAATACTTGTGTAACATTTCTCCCATTGGCCAATTATCACGT